CCGTCACACTGTATCGATCCCTTTTTCCACGATGGTAAACTAACGTCGCCGTAAAATTCGCGGCCTGCACTCAAACCCTCCCGACGATGGAAAATGATTCATCCGGTACTCGCGCGCGGCTCTGCTCGAGAAATTGTTTGACGTTTCCTCTCTCTTTCTCTCTTGAGTTACGACGGCACGTGCGTACACACGGCCGGAATTGATTGCAAATTGTTCCCCGCCGACAGGAAACGCGTCTTCCTCGTAAACATCTTCGTTTTCTCGTTCGGTGTTCGTTGCACTGGGAATAGCGGCGAAGTGAACACGCGCGAGACTTGAAATAAGGGATTTTGATCGGTTGCACTGGGACTCCGTGTAACGAGATTGAAAGAGAAGAAGGAATGTGTAACTTTGAAATTTTGGGTTGATTAACAGTCGAACTGCCAGAAGAGTCAGAATGACCCATTAGAGACTTCCCAGAAGTGAATTTTTGTGTATATAGAGAATAAATTTGGAAAGTTACGAATGATAATACTTTGTCGTTATTGAACTTTCACGTTTTTTCGAAATATGCTAATTCCGCCGGTAGTTCTAGTGTTAAATTTTACCCAAAAATGGGCGTCGGTGGAGCTTAGTTTGTATTATATTTCCTGCGTTATTGGGGGGTTCTACTGTATTATTCACTTGGACGATAAGTGAATTTTGTATTTTTTCGTTTTATTTGGAAAGTGAATAGAGCGTGAAAGAAGTTGGATTGCGTTGAGTGATCTGTTGCTTGGAAGCGTCGATACGGAAGCAGAAGGTTCGAGGGAGCCGCGAAATCTTTGTCTACGCGGAACTCGAGGGAGATCAAGACGGTCCAAGAAGTTTACCGACGTAATCAAAACGGCCTCCCGAGCACGATTGCACTTTGCCCGACAAGATTCAAGGGCTCTCGGAATTTGAGAAGCCTGTAAGTATCGACGAGTCAGCTTCGTTCGGATAGTAGTAACAAAAGTGCACAGAAAAAGATATACTTCTCGCTGGTAGCTAATTTTTCAACTCGTAAATTTTTAATCAGGCGTTCCAATCCCTGTCTGAACTTTCTCTGACAAAACTGCTATATTCGATGCAATATCTTCTAACACAAGGTTAAATAGAGTAGGCAATAAAAATTCCCAAGATTTAAATTTCGTATTCGGGAAAATCTCGCGGCTGACTAATCTAATTCTGTTCTCCTTCTCAAAATTAAGTAATCAGATGATGTTACACTGTCACTCAGCATTCGTACAAGATTAAATACAATATGCAATCAAAATCCCCAAGATTCAGATTGCACTCAATTTAATATCCATTTTCGCCAAAATCTGATGTCTGACTAATTTCATTCTGTTCTCCTTCTCAAAATTACGTGTTCAGGAGATAATTCGTCTTCTCTCAGTCTTCGCACAAAATTAAATACAGGATATCATAAAAATCCCCAAGGTTCAGATTGCATTCAATTTAATATCCATTTTCGCCAATATCTAATGTCTGACTAATTTCATTCTGTTCTCCTTCTCAAAATTACGTGTTCAGGAAATAATTCGTCTTCTCTCAATCTTCGCACAAAATTAAATACAGGATATGGAAAATCTCGCGGCTGACTAATCTAATTCTGTTCTCCTTCTCAAAATTAAGTAATCAGATGATGTTACACTGTCACTCAGCATTCGTACAAGATTAAATACAATATGCAATCAAAATCCCCAAGATTCAGATTGCACTCAATTTAATATCCATTTTCGCCAAAATCTGATGTCTGACTAATTTCATTCTGTTCTCCTTCTCAAAATTACGTGTTCAGGAGATAATTCGTCTTCTCTCAGTCTTTGCACAAAATTAAATACAGGATATCATAAAAATCCCCAAGATTCAGATTGCATTCAATTTAATATCCATTTTCGCCGAAATCTGATGTCTGACTACTTTCATTCTGTTCTCCTTCTCAAAATTACGTGTTCAGGAGATAATTCGTCTTCTCTCAGTCTTCGCACAAAATTAAATACAGGATATAATAAAAATTCCCAAGATTCATATTGCATCTGATTTAATTTTCATATTCTCGAAAATTTGTTGGCTGACCAATCTAACTCTGTTCTCCTTCCAAAGACCAAGTGATCAAGTAATATCGTCTCATCGCTCAGCACTCGTCCTACATTCTTCTTCGCTATTTTCCATTCTACGACAACAAACGATCAAAACTCACAGTCCAGAAACTTTTGCCACTTACTGTATCCTCTCGTCGAGGGGGCAACGAACGAACAGACGACCTGTCATTAGATATCCGCGCAGAGATATCGTCGGGGGACGATTAATTCGTGGCCACCACCTGGGAACGATTTCGGGGCCGGCTCTCGAAATTATTATAATTCAAAGCTTGGGTAGGGGAGGGTTGGCCCCCGAGCGTATCAGAGCACGAACCACACGGCCTAAATGTTATAACATAAATCGTGGTTGT